GGGCACTGGGTCTGCTCTCTCACGGAGAATTCCCCTCAGCCGAAAGGCCCCAAACTTGGAACCCTGAACCTAAACCCAGGTTGCGCATGCACACTTCAGGGTTTGGGTTCGTTTAGGGCTTAGGGTTTAGAGGTCTTGCTGTGCCAGGAAGATGTTGGCATCTTGGGTCAAACGTGCAGTTTGGATCCGAAACCCTAAGCCAAGTCCAAACATTCTAGAGTCCGTAAGGGGGGAATGTAACTCAAGGTTTAAAAAATCCTCCCCACTACTCCCTCAGGCTCGCTACATTCCCTAGGTACCGAACCCCCCCCTCCCCCATTGACCCCCGCCCACGACCCCTACAGAGCCAGGTTGCCTGAAACCCGATTTCGATCGCTCGAACTCCCAAATCTCTGAACCCGAAGACCTCAAACCACCAAGCTTTCAACTCACCCCTAGGTTGCCCTAAAACACGAAGCCCCCGAAACCCTAAACCCCTAAACCCTCAACCCCAATCGCCGCCAAACCCTAAACCCTGAACCCTAAACCCTAAACCCTAAACCTAAACCCTGACCCTGAGCCCCCTAAACCCCCGAACCCTCAGATCCAGTCGCACTTCACGCCCAGGTCCCAGGGTGCTCCGGACATGAACTTCTACGAGTTCTGAAAAGCCCTACGGGAACAAGAACGAAGGGTTTAGGGTTTAGGGTTTAGGGTTTAGGGTTTAGGGTTTAAGGTTTAGGGTTTAGGGTTTAGGGTTTAGGGTTTAGGGTTTAGGGTTTAGGGTTTAGGGTTTAGGGTTTTCAGTTTCAGTTTTCATTTTCAATTTTCCGGGTTTAGGGCTTTGAGGATTTGGAAAGTTTAAGGTTTGCATGGGTTCGGTCGCGCCTTGAAGCTTTTGAAGTAGAATAATCAGAGCCCCCGGTTGGCCTGTAAGTATTGTAAATAGGGCTCTATAGCTCCCTCAGCACCATGGTTGGTGTAGTAAGGGGCTTCTCCCCGTAGACAGTGCTGTGGGAAGGGTGTTAAGGCTTGGGTCGGAACCATAACCTGTGTAACCTTTTTGGTGTTGTAGAATTCCTTCAGACGAATCCCAAAGGTCACTAGAATCCCACTGGCCAGTTGATGTTGTAGTCACCCTCAACCCTCAACCCTGAACCCTGAACCCTAAACCCTAAACCCTAAACCCTGACCAGACATGGTTTCAGTAGCAAAAAACCGCCCTGGCCGCGCAACAAGCCGAAAAGGGAGGCCGGATGTTTCTTCCCTACACCTTGGGATGTTCCCCCTGATACTAACAGGCCTTAATACCGATTATAGCACCTCCTACTATAATCTCTTTGAAGGACTGTTCGTACAAGGGGGAACATCCAAACCTATACCCCGAACCATAAACCCTCAAGCCCCCAAAGGTTTCGCACTCACAGGGCACCTGAGTTCCGCAGGGCATCTTCAGCCAGCCAAAGAATGTTCGGGGCCATCACTTTCTTAGTACCCTAAGCCCTAAACCCTAAGCCCTAAACCTTAGCCCCTAAACCCTCAACCCTAGACCCTAGACCCTAAACCCTACAGCATCCTCATATAGACGTAGTTTTAAAGCGAGAGAGAGAGAGAGAGAGAGCACGGAACCCACCCTTCAAATAAGGACCCCAAACGGGACCCTAACATACTGAACTACCCTTAAACCCCGTGTGTACACCTTTGCGTCTGTACACGCACCTATGGATGCGTACCTCGCTTGGAGTCTTGAAAATGGTTGTCGATTGTTTTGGGCATGGCAAAGGGAAGGCGGCATCAGCTTAGGCTACCGGATTCATTGCAAAGCCCTAAGCCCTAAATCCTAAACTTAGGAACCCTAAACCCTAGGATCCAATGAAGGATTGAGGGAGAGGCCGGCTTTGTAGACGTCACTTTACGAAGTCTCAGCTTCGAGTTTGCGCAGGGCTAAGGGCTTAGGGTGTAGGATTTAGGGTTTAGGGTTTAGAGCTTAACTTGGCTTTCATGATTCGTTGGTCAGGCCTTGATGTTTTCAGGGGGCATACCAAGTGGGCCATTCACTGTTTGCACGCCGCTGTTTTTCTTGGAGCAGCCAAAGGTGCGATACATGAAGGAAGAGCAAACTGTTACTTGGGCGTATGCGGGTTTAGGGTTTAGGGCTTAGGACTTCACACTCTGTGCTACCTACTGTTCCTTCGGTATCTTCCTAACGAAGGAGCTCCTTCTCCGTATAAAGTAGGCCCTATCAAGACTGTAGGGGAGCGTCGAAGACTCAACTCGAACAAAGACAAGCCCCAACCATGTCCAGAGCAGCTTGAACTACGGGGGTTTAGGCTTTTATTTGTGGGCCAGGCCGTGCTTTTGGATTTAGGGTTTAGGGTCTAGGGTTTAGGGTTTAGGGATTCGCTGCAACTCATACCCCCGAGATTTTAGAGTGGGACCCCGTCATACCACTTTGCTTAGCCCGAAGCAGGGCGTTAATGCACATCGCCCCGTGCCCGCGTCGCGCTCTCCGCGGCCACGCATGGCGCCAAAAGCCGTCCAGGGTGGAGCTCCCAGACATCCACCAGGGCCCTCATTTGGGTTTTACGAAAACCGGGGACCCCCAAGATAAATCCCCAAATAGTAGGATCCCCTTATAGTAGGGACCCCAATAAGATACGCCCAATTTCGGAAACCCCCCATTTCCAAATGCCTAAACCCGCCAATAAACGAAGACACCCTAAACCCGATAAACCCTTAACCCTATGAACCCTCAATGTCAATTTCCTCTAAGCCCTGATTGTGTAGGCTTTTGTGTGTAGAGGTTGAGTCAAGCTTGGCTTCTTTTTTAAGGTCCCCAAAGCCCCTCAATGCTTCCTAGGACCCGGAGTAGGCCCTCATTCCTTGTTTTGTGGGTTGGGGTTCCGTTATAATCCCCTTCAACCAAGAAGGATACCCTTTTATTCCTATTTTACTCCGGGGTCTAGCTTCTGGAGAGCATGAAGCACCGTCTCAGCAACCATTCTCCCAAAAACGAGCTCCACTTCGGGGTGGTTTGGGGGCTTCGGCTTTAGGATTTAGAGCTTCTTTAGGGTTTAGGGTTTAGGGTTTAGGGTTTAGGGTTTAGGGTTTAGGGTTTAGGGGTTGAGGGTTTTAGCGACTCTTAGAAGCTTAGTTTTCCCAGCCGCGGAACTCTGTTTCCTAAATGAGCTATCAACCCTCCGGTCTTGAGGCTACGGTGAAGACTTTTATGTTGACGACAGCGCCCCGGGGCAAACAGGAACAAACTCAGAAAGAAGGGCCCTAGAAGGCTTGATGGTTTGAGTTGTTTTCTTTTTTTTTCGGGGGGTTGCGGTTCAGTCGGTATTCTGAAGGTAGTGTTATCTACAGAGGTCCTAGAACCAACCTCAAACACTAAACCCAAAACCCTAGAACCAACCCCAAACACAAAACCGAACAGCGCCGACCCTAAACACTAAACCCTAAACCCAGCTGGTGCGAGGACAGTGTGTCTGACGCCATAAACTCTCAACAATCGAACACCCAAACTTCTGGTCGCTTTGGGGCTTAGCGCTCAGGGATTCTTACTTCGCCAAGAGTTGAACTCTAAACCGAACTTTTCAGGGCTGTAGGAACAATACAGTTTATCAGTTGTATTCCCTGGTCATAGGAGATGGAAGGTTCCGAATTTAGGGTTTAGGGTTTCAGGGTAAGAGTTCAGGGCTCAGGGTTTAGCCATCGTCGCCCTACACACTCAAGCCAGAGACTCGAAACACTGGACCCCCCCCCCCCCCCACCCGGCACGCTTGTGGGAGGTTTGGAAACGACCCCAAGCCCCAAAAGCACCCCAAGTTGAGGGTTTAGGGTTTAGGGCAAGCCTAAACCCCAAACCCCAAACCCTAAACCCTAAACCCTGGGAGAAGCTCCCAGGAGTTCCCAAATGCCCTAAACCCTAAACCCTAAGCCCTAAACCCTAAACCCTAAACCCTAAACCCTAAACCCTAAACCCCCTTTTCTCCAGGCCACGTCCTCGACTTGACCGAGGCGAGGGGCCCTTCGGCTGGAAAGGCGCTGTGCGCTGTACCTGAAAGGGTTTAGGGTTTATGGTTTAGGGTTTAGGGTTTGGGGTTTGGGGTTTAGGGTTTAGGGTTTGGGGTTTAGGGTTCAAGGGTTCAGGGTTAGGGTTGGGGGTTTGGGGCTTGGGGTTTTGGGGTTTTGGGGTTTGGAGGTTTTGGGTTTAGGGTTTAGGGTGTGGGGTTTGGGGTTTTGGGGGTTAGGGTTTGAGGTTTAAGGTTTGGGGATTAGGGTATGCTGATGAATATCGGGGTCGGGAGAATTTGCTACAAGTATTCCCTTCTGATCCCTACATATGTATTCCTATTCGAATGATTAAGGCCCTGGAATACCTAAAATGGGTTAGGGGGTTGGCTTCAGGGTTTGGGGTTGAGGGCCTGGGGTTTTAGGGAGGGTGCAGAGCTGCAGAGCTAAAGGGCCTTTAGGGCCTTAGGGCTTTGGGGCCTTAGGGGTTTTGCTGGATCGGGGTTTAGGGGGGATTCGGGTCCCTGCTTGAAGGTTAACAGTACGTGTTTAGGGTTTAGGGTTTAGGGTTCAGGGTCTAGGGTATATAGGCACCCAAAACAGGTGACCGCTTCCAAAAGATGCGAATCCTTTGTAACCCGCAGCACCAAAGAATCTTGGGAAGCTAGCCTGTGTGCCTTAACATATGGGGTGTTTTAAGTCATTCGGGGTGCCTTGTTGGGGCCCTTAATGTAGGGGGATCGTACTATTTAGGGGTCTAAAAAAGGGGACCCTGATTCTCGTAAACCCCCTAATATGCTTCCAGACCCGAAGCCTGCAGCCCGAGCATCAGGGTCCCTCACAGAACCAGGCCCAGGCAGAGCGGTTCCGCCAAGCTCCGGTGACCATCTAGGGTTTAGGGTTTAGGGTTTAGGGTATAGGGTTTAGGGTTTAGGGTTTAGGGATTAGAGCCGCGCGGCCGGCGAGGAGAAGATGCGGCAGGAGCCCACGCACGTGCTGGTCCAGCTGATGGCCGTGATGGAGAAGAACATGCAAATGAAGACCGACAGGAGTCGCCAAGACCAAGGGGCGGAGTCGTCCGCGGCCAGAGCGGCCACATAAGTGTGGAGACCAGCCAAGCCTACACCAGGACCAGGACGATGGCGGTTCAACCCTAAACCCTACACCATAAGCCCCAAACCCTGAACCCTAAGAGTGAAGAGTGGAAAGAGGGGTTTGGGGTTTAGGGCTAGGGTTTTGGGGTCTTTGGGTAGGGTTTTAGGTCCAGGGTTTAGGCTTTAGGGATAGGTGTTTAGGGTTTCGGGGCCCTAAACCCTAAACCCTGAACCCTAAACCCTAAACCTTAAACTTCAGGGTTTACGCCCTGGCTCCGCTTGCGCTCCAAGGCGTCAAGCTCTACTATGAGGTCCAAGGGCCGCTCCGACGAGAGTATCAAGGTGCCGGGCCCCCCTCTGTTGTGTGGGATGTAGGGTTTAGGGTTTAGGGTTTAGGGTTTGGGGTTTGGGGTTTAGGGTTTAGGCTTTAGGGTTCGCTTCTTCGCGAAGGAATGCGCCTCCGTTTCATTAGGACGTCACCACAGGGACTTGTCCGAGAGTGAGATCCTGAATGACATGAAGCGGGACTTGGGGTTGAGGTTTTAGGGTTTAGGGCTAGGGTTTAGGGCTAGGGTTTAGGGTGTTTGGGGGCTAGGGGTTTAGGGTGTAGGATTCAGGGTTCCGTGCCCCGGGTCCAGCATCCCCGCAAACTGCAATAAAGTCCGTCTTTCGGGATTATTTTTAAGGGCCGTTGGGCCCTACTTGGGGTCGTCAATGCTGAAGGTGTGCGGCGTGGGTGGTAGAAGCATCCTAAGAGATGTAGATTTGAAGCTTTTGGGGTTCGTCATTTAGGGTTCAGGGCTTAGGAACCCTTCTTCTCCCAGACCTCTGGGGCATTTTGGGGGTTCAGGGTTTCGGATCGATTGTCACTTGTTGTGCGTGCCTGTACGAGAGCATACTGGCCCCAAACTCCAAACCCTCCAACCCCTAAAGCCTGAAACCCGAGCACCTGGCTCTGAATTCTGAATGCTAAAACCCCCGTGGGTTGCCCCTGATTTGTGGCAATTATGTTGTGGGCTCTTTAAGGGCCGAACTCCTCCATGCTTCTTGACAGCCTGAGCCCTAAACCCTAAAAACCCTAAAACCCTACCAAAACTCAGCAGCTGAGGGAGCACACTTTACACTTTTTGAAATACTCTAACCCCCTATGGAACTGAAAGTCTACACTTTTGGGGGGGGCTTATGAACTCAGCAACTAAGCGAAACCCTAAACCCCAAACCCTAAACCCTAAACCCCTAACCCTAAACCCCAAACCCCAAACCCTACACCCCAAACCCCAAACCCTGAACCCAAGGATGGCCGCCCTTGAATTTAGGTAGCTGGCAAAGGGCCGATCCAGCAATCCAGGGTTTAGGGCTTAGGGCTTAGTTTGGATACCAGGACATGGTGGTACAGTCAGCCCAAAGCCCTGAACCCGAACCCTAAACCCCTAAACCCCTAAACCCTTAAACCCTTAAACCCTAAACCCTTAAACCCCAAAACCCTAAACCCTAAACCCTAAACCTAAACCCTAAACCCCAGCCTCAGCCTAGAGGTGAGAAGGAGGAAGTGCTGTTCCTCCTCATGGGCTCGAATCTCGAAGAATGCTGGGAGTTCTTTTTAGGGTTTAGCGGGTTTGGGGGGTTTAGGGCGTTTAGGGGGTTTAGGGCGTTTAGGGGGTTTAGGGGGTTTAGGGGGTTTAGGGTTTAGGGCGTTTAGGGGGTTAGGGTTTAGGGGGTTTAGGGTTTAGGGTTTAGGGTGCTTAGGTTCCCTCCCGAACCCAATTAAGCAGCACCTTTTCTCATTCTACGGGGACCCTTCCCTTCTAAACATGAAGCCTTTCAGTTTGAAGTGCCTGACCAGTTTCTGGAGCAGTACTTGAAGCACAGGTAGTTTATCAGTGGGCCCTATGTCCCTGAACTGGGTGTGGATAGGTTGCAACTGCAACTACCATACTTGGAGGACTCGTAAGTACTGATTTAGTAGGCTCATGAGTGCAGCCGCCGCCCCCCGCCTCCCCCCCCCCCCCCCCGCCCGATACTTTCACCATACTCTGTGCAGCGCTTTGTATGCAGAGTTTGTACATGTGTACCTACGTACCAAGTCCCTCGATCCTCCAAGTATGAACATTTTTATTTGTAAGCAATGAATGTTGAAGAGTGAAATTTGATGGTGCGAAGCGTCCCGTGAGCACCCGAAGCCCTAAACCCTAAACCCTAAACCCTAAACCCTAGACCCTAAACCCTAAACCCTAAACCCTAAACCCTAAACCCTAAACCCTAGACCCTAGACCCTAGACCCTAAACCGCACCGCAGGGAGTGGCCCAAGTAAAGCATCGCGAGATCCTACTATTCTCTTCAGAGTATTCAGAGCACCGGAGGATTTTCAAGCAGGGGTGGATGTGACGCTGGCAGAACAAGCACGAAGCAACTTCCGGAAATTCCAAGAGTTTAGGGTTTAGAGTTTAGGGTTTAGGGTTTAGGGTTTAGCGTTTAGGGTAAAGATGTCGGAGCCCTCAGCCCAAACCCGAAGCCCTATTCACGTGGGAAGGGCTGTTGCGTTGGGATCGTTCGGAGGCACATGCTTGTGTTACCTGCTCTTCTGCGCCTTCTGCTCCTTTTGCTGTCTCTTTGTGGTGTCTTGTTACCCTAAACCCTAAACCCTAAACCCTAAACCCTAAACCCTAAACCCTTCTGGTTCTCACCGTGAGACCACGGTCCCCAAAGTAGCCCCCAAATATGGGCCTAGGGGTCTGTGAGAGGGAGCTCCTCAAAAAAAAGGTAGAAAGGTGTCTCCAGCTCTTATGAACCGCACACCAGGCTGAATCCAAAATCCCAAAACCCTAAACCCTCAACCCTCAACCCCAAACCCCAAACCCCAAACCCCAAACCCCAAACCCTAAACCCACCCAACCTGAACCCAGGACGGCCGACCTTCGAAAAACCACCGACCAGCAGTATGTCAATGCATCCATCGGCTTCTTTAAGGCCAGGGGCTTCGATATGCAGGGTTTGGGGATGATGTTGGGTTTAGGGTTTAGGGTTTGGGGTTTAGGGTTTAGGGTTTAGGGCTACAGGGCTACAGGGTTTAGGGTTTAGGATTCAATGACCAAAATCACACTCTGCCTAGGCGCAGGCTGTGTATCGTAGCAATTGCCTGCTGTAGACCCTTCGCCCTGAAGGCCTTGGGGGTAGGGGGGTAGCATTCGTCAGCTGAACGCCATGGTATGCACCCAAGACCGCCCACACACCACTCAGAACGAAGAAATCTAACCCAAGCCATCCGAAGTCACCCACCTCCACATATGATTCTCTGCTAGGGGCCTGTAGCTTACACTGAGCTCTTGAACCCCAGTGTGCCCAAGCCCCATGCACCCTGAAAAACACTCCAAACTCCAAGAGCGCACGCTTGGAGTCGCCTTTAGGGTCTGTCAGAGGTTCTGGCCTACGATCACCGGAACACGGGGAGGTCGACAATCAAGGACGATCACAGAGGGGTCTTCAGGGTTTTGGGTTTTGAGTTGTTGATCACCGGTGTGGCCCTTTTATGGCAGGCTACGCTGAGTGTGTCCCCCAAAAGCGGGCCCATCGTCTGATCAACGCCCAAGTAGGGTCCAGGGTTCAGGGTTTAGGGCGTGGTGGTACAGGGGTCTCCTTGCGGATGGCAGCGCCGCTCCTGCAGAACCTCGTCCTCCTCCACGGGCGAAAGGGAATTAGAGAGCACAAGCCAAAAAGAGAGCAAGTTCTATGGTTGCAGAAGTCTGAGATGCCTCCCAATTGCCGCTCATGTTGGGAGCACAAGGGTGCAGTGGAAGCCTTCACTGCTGCGTGCAAGGCCCAAGACAGGCCCTAAACCCTAAACCCTAAACCCTAAACCCTAAACCCTAAACCCTAAACCAAGAACACCGAGTGCGTGGATGCATTGAACCAGATGCGTACCAATGCAGGGAACCAGCGAGGCAAGGTCATCACCGACCATGCCGCGCAGTGTCCTGGACTCGGCCATGGACCCCTAACCCTAAACCCTAAACCCTAAACCCTAAACCCTAAACCCTTAACCCTTAACCCTAAACCCTAAAACCCTACCGAAGGGGGAAATGGGGCGCAGTGCTGAAGGCTAGGTTATAGGGGTTAGGTCGCAGGGCCTTTGGGGCTGAGTAGGGTTTAGGGTTTATAGGGTTTATAGGGTTTGTAGGGTTTATAGGGCTTATAGGGTTTACAGGGTTTATAGGGTTTATAGGGTTTGTAGGGTTTATAGGGTTTATAGGGTTTATAGGGTTTATAGGGTTTATAGGGTTTATAGGGTTTATAGGGTTTGGTTTTTTTGGGTTTATAGGGCTCAGGGTTTACAGGGTTTAGGGGTTAGGGTTTAGGGTTTGGTGGCTGCTACTTCACCATAAACCCAAATTCGTCAACCTTCTTCCGTTAGCTGTGAAGGCCTTAACATGAATTCTAAACCCAAAATCCTAAACTCCAAACCCTAAACCCCAAACCCCCCTAAACCCCTAACTCGCAACCCCATGAATCCTTCTTTGTTGCTCGTGGCAAGGTTTAGGGGTTAAGGTCTAGGGTATATGGTTTAAGGCAAGTGTCTTGGGTTTTTGGCTTGGGGTGCCCCTCTTATGCCAGGAGCCTGAACCCCAAACCCCAAACCCTAAACCCTAGCCCCTGCACTCCATGGACCCGCGCTCTCCTTTGGAAGCTGTGGTCGCGCCGGCAGGACGAGCCATGCACGATGGAAGACTACGCCGACGACGCGGCCATGCTGCTGGAGAAGCTGTTTCCAGAGAGGCTTTAGGGTTTAGGGTTTAGCGTTTAGGGTTTAGGGTTTAGGGTGTGGGGTTTAGGACCCTGAAAACCCTAAGAGCTGTATCTTGGTAGCCCAGCTGTACCCATTTCCCTTTTTTGGTTCAAGCTTCCCGTACAAAAAAGTAACCAACCCCAAAAAGGGGGTACCCTGATGATAAGATGGCTGCTGGGCGACCAAGGTATGTGGATCAGTCTGGACCTTGAAGTTCGAAGATGTTCTTTCCAAAGCCCCCCGCCGCCCCCCCCCCCCCCCCCTTGACCCTTGAGGGTTTAGGGTTTAGGGTCTGGGGTTTAGAGTTTAGGGTTTAGAGTTTAGGGTTTGGGGTCTAGGGTCTTGGGTTTGGGGTAAATTTGCTTAGGCGATCATCTTAAACATCTAAGCTTGCCAGCGCATCATGTTTCCTGATTTGTCACAGGCCTTTCTCTACTACTATTTGCATATGGGGATTATCATGCTTCATTTATTGGTGGCTCTTAAGCAAATAGTAGTCTAAACAGAAAGGTCTCTCTCTAAAACACAGCAACAAACATTTCTTGACTCCACCGCTGAACCTGTCAGCACACGCAGAGCAGGAATTATACGCAGTGTTGGACATTGTTCACCTGACGCTAGGCTTGCAAGATTAAGAAGCACAACCCTATCCCCGAAATCTCAAGCCCTAAACCCTAAACCCGAAACCCTAAACCTAAACCCTAAATACCCTACTTAAACCCTAAACCCTAAACCCTAAACCCTAAACCCTAAACCCTAAACCCTAAACCCTAAACCCTAAATACCCTACTCCCTAATCCCTGATCCCTACTTACCCCCTCCCCACGGACATGACGCTCGAAGTAGGCTTCCGGTCAACGTCCTCGGCATCTCCTTCGGCGCGATGGTGGCGCAGCCTCCCGCCTTGCTCCAAAAGAGGTGAGGGGTTTTAGGGTTTAGGGTTTCGGATTTAGGGTTCAGGGTTTAGGGTTTAGGGTTTAGGGTTTAGGGTTAGGGTTTAGGGTTGAGGTGTTGAGTTTTTTGGGGTTTTGTGTTCGGGGTTTAGGGTTTAGGCGTTGATTCTTTTGGGGTTTGGTGTTCGGGGTTTAGGGTTTAGGTCAAAGTTTAGGTGTTGATTTTTTGGCGGTTTGGAGTCCGGGGTTTAGAGTTTTGGGGTCGAGGGCCACCTGACGCACAGGCTTGTCATCATTCAGTCGTGCCGAGAGAGCCCAGAGCCTTTCATTCAAAACTGTATAACTTAAGATAACATCCTGAATTCAGTCAAGGGACTACCTTGGACCCCTTAAGGTGGTACCCTTGGGTTTGGGACCTTTTTTTCAGATTCTTCCAGGGAACATAGGAGCCATGTTAGGAGTACATCAAGGGGAACCTTTAGGGGAACAACTTTGGGGGTACGAGCCTTAATCCCTGGATTAAGGGGGGGGCGCTTGCAGGGCATGTGCAGAAGCAGCACCTGTGAGGGCCTCTGCTCCATCGGGGGAAGGGGCTTCGGAGGGTCCGTTGCTACATGTACGAAAGAGGGACCCCTCGGAGGAGAGCCGAGGGCCGGAGATCGAAGCTGCTGGAAGTGGGGACACCTACAGCGTGGCCCATTGGCAAAGAATGCTTCGGAATCCGAAGATCAAGTACTTCCTGACCCGTGGAGCTGTTGCCACGGGGGAGGTCGGAGTGTGTACCATGCACCTCTCGAGTGCTCGGAGGGGTCCATGCACTTCAAACCCAGAACCCCTACGCCCCGCAAATAGTAATAGTATACAGCTGGTTGCCAAAGATTCGATACTCGAACTACAAGCCCGGGCATACCCTGAAGCATAGTACCCTATTCCCGACTCCACCCTAAACCCCCAATAAGCCCCTAACCTTACCCTCAACCCCAAACCCTGTCAACCGATAGACCTATACCCCCAGTACCCTATCCCCCAACGGCCCTACAACCGAACCCGACGACCCCAAACCCTAAACCCCAAACCCTAAACCCTCAACCCTCAACCCTCAACCCTCAACCCTCAACCCTCAACCCTCAACCCTCAACCCTCAACCCTACCATTGGTTGTTCTCGGCTGAGGGCTTAGGGGTCTACAACCCGAAGCCCCAAGCCATGAGCCCTACAACCAGGGTTCCGGGTCCCCTAAACCCTGGACCCTAAACCCTAAACCCTAAACCCTAAACCCTAAACCCTAAACCCTAAACCCTAAACCCTAAACCCTAAACCCTAAACCCACCAAATCGGCAGCCCAGGCACCTCGCGTTGAGGCGGCCAGAGCTGGTGAAGCGGCTGGCCACCCGGTGGTCAACAATCTATTGGGGTTTAGGGTTTTTGGTTTAGGGTTTGGGGTTTAGGGTTTAGGGTTTGGGGTTTAGGGTTTGGGGTTAAGGGTTTAAGGTTTAAGATTTAGGGTTTCGGGGACCCGGAACCCTAGTTGTAGGTCTCGTGGCTTGGGGCTTCGGGTTGTAGACCCCTTGGCCCTAAGCCGAAAAACATCCAATGGTAGGGTTTAGGGCCTAGGGTTTAAGCCTAAGGGTTTTGTGTTTGGGGTTTAGGGTTTGGAGTTCAGGGTTTCGGGTTTCGGGTTTCGGGGTGTATGGGTTTATGGGTTTGGCGTCTAGGGTTTGGGGTTTAGGGTTCAGGGTTTCAGGATTTAGGTTGTGGATGGTTGTGGTTTAGGGTTTTAGGGTTTGGGGCTTTCGGGCTTCGTGTTTTCGGTTTGGGGGAGGGGGGGGGGGGGGCTGGGGGGGAAGGGTCGAGTCCTCATAGGGTGTCGGGTCCCATTCTTGAGAACGTATGCGACTACCAGTCTGCCAGTGCAAGGAAACATGCTTGCTGCGTCCCTAAACCCTAAACCCTAAACCCTAAACCCTAAACCCTAAACCCTAAACCCTAAACCCTAAACCCTGCGTGCTCTGTGAGATGGGCGCGCATGGCATTTTTTGAGGGAGGAACCCCCGAAAACATCCCTAAACCCTAATCCCTGAACCACTGAACCCAAAACCCTGAACTTCTCAATCAATCGACCCCCCTATGCCCGGGCCTTCAAGATCGAAGCGGTGAAGACTGAAGACCCTAACTCGAGGTTTATGGGTGAGGGCGAGGAGTGATTCTTTCAGAAGCCCAAGGCTTCACCCCCGTTTCCTGTGGGTTCATGGAGCGGAGATGGGGTGTTGGGCTTCAAAAACCCTGAAAGCCCTTAGGCCCCAGCAGACTCTGGGGTTGAGTTGAGGTGCTTTGCTGCGGTCCGGCTGGCGGAGAAGGGGGCATGTCCTACCCCATCCACGCTCCCTGATATGAAAGGGGTTGGGGGGGACAGGGAGGATCTAAACTACCTGAACCCCTTAACCCGGTTTCAGGGTTCAGGGGTAGTTTAGAAGGGTTGAAGGTGTTAGGGCTCGGGGGCCATACTGCAGTAGCCTGCACAGCTAGTCCAACCATTCATCGTTCCTATACAACATTGTTGTAAAATGCCTGCCCACAGCCATTCGAACCACAAAGGCCCCGCACACTAAAGCCCCACGCGACTGTAAGGTCTTAAACCCTAAACCCTAAACCCTAAACCCCTTAGCTCCTCAGGGCTTGCGGTCGGGGCTGGCGTTGTGGTGGGGTGGGGGAGGAATGCTTCGGGAGAGGAACCCCAGACCCTGAGCCCAACCCAGATATTTGGGAGCGAAAAGGGACCCGAATGTAGAAGAACCCCGAAGTGACTGCCTTACCCTAAACCTCTGAACTCCAATCATAGTATAGCTTGCTTAGCAACAAAGTGTGGTTGAAAATACAAAACGGTTCAGGTAGCCTCCAATCATACTATAGCTTGCTTAGCAACAAAGTGTGGTTGGGGCTTCCATAACCCTAGCCCTAAACCCGAAGCCCTAAACCCTAAACCCTAAACCCTTGTGCACGACCCCAGGAGTGGTACGAGCCCTCGGTGACCATGGAGACGCGCGTTACGCGGAAGATGCCGGGCAGCGTTCACCGGCATAGGGGTTTGGGTTTAGGGTTTTAGGGTTTTGGGGTTTAGGGTTTAGGCTTAGGGGTTTAGGGGTTTAGGGGTTTAGGGGTTTAGGGGTTTAGGGGTTTAGGGGTTTAGGGGTTTAGGGGTTTAGGGGTTTAGGGGGTTAGGGGTTTAGGGGTTTAGGGGTTTAGGGGTTTAGGGGTTTAGGGGGTTAGGGGTTTCGGGGTTCGGTTTTTAGGGGTTATAGGGGTTTCGGGGTTTTCTTGTGGTTTCCGGGGTTTAGGGGTTTCGAAGGGTTGCGGGTTTAGGGTTTCGGGCCGGCCTATTGGCCGTTCCAGTTTCGGGGGGGTAAAAGGGGGCGGGAAGTGGTCGTTTATCATGGGGTGGGGGGGGGGGGGGGGGGGGGGGGGGGGGGGGGGAGATAAGCCACGAAGCCCCTGAAATCTGTTCAGGTTTGGGGTTTGGGGTTTTGGCTGGTTTGGGGTTTCCGGGTTACGCCTGGGGAACCTTTGACAAAGGGAAGCCGCTTGCTACAGTACAATGGTTCGCAGAGGACCTACACCCGAGGGGGGGTGGGGGAGTTGAAAAATGATCGGATGCTACCCTAAACCCTAAACCCTAAACCCTAAACCCCTAAACCCTAAACCCTAAACCCTAAACTCTTTTTTTTTTCGCTTGGCGGCTTCGGCCGCTTCACTTCCACCCTAAACTTTGAACCTTTGCCCTGAGCCCCTGAGCCCGATGCGTTCAGGAGGTTCATGGTTAGGGTTTAGGGTTTCAGGGTTTAGGGTTGAGGGTTTAGGGTTGAGGGTTGAGGGTTTAGGGTTTAGGGTTTATGTCTGGAGGTCTTAAGGACAACAATTGTAGGTCTCTGGTAGTTTTAGGTAGGGTGAAGCGTATGGTATACTTATTTCCCTACTTGGGGTACTTAGAGCCCTACTTTTATTCCTACCCATGAACCTCCAAGTATCGTGCACTTTGCGCGCAAGCAGCCAAGGATGTTCCAGGCTAACAAGTCCAGAGCCACTTGGTCTTGAGTGCTGGTTCGGTTTCGTGTTGAGGGTTTAAGGGTTTACGGTTTGGGCTTCACAGTTCAGAGTTTGAGGGAGGGGGGCAGCAACAGGGGGTTTACCGAAAATAAGGGACCCCTAAAATAGACCCCAAATAGTACAGTTTCCTTATAATCAGGACCCCAGAAAGGTACCCCAATTTCGGAAACTACCAACTCTTGGACTTTCGAACCTCAGGTAGGTATGGGCCTTGACTTAGCTGAACGAGTACGCATAACACTTTTCGGGATACTATAGTCCGATATAGAAGCGAAAGTGTACACTGAATACTTTTGTGGGGGGGTTTAATGAACCCAGCAACTAAGGGCAGATATCGGACTTTATGTGCCATGTCGTTGCCATATGAGCTGCTTCTGCCACCGCCCTTCCTGCCTTCACTTATCTTAGTAACCCAAATAAAACTGTACTTATAATAGCCCTTATCACCACATTAGGTACGCAGAGGCCTTATGAATGGGTTATAACTACAGTTATCAGTGGGTTATAACTACCCTGAACCTCCTAGTGCTGTCAAGAGCAAGATCCCTTTCTTGGAGAAGGGTTTAGGGCTTTGGGGCTTTAGGTGTAGGGTTTAGGGTTTAGGGTTTAGGTTTTAGGGTTTAGGGTTTAGGGTTTAGGGCTAGCTAGGCCTTTATGATGTAGGGTTTAGTGGTTTAGGGTTTAGCAAGTTTGGACTGCCAAGGATGCCGCCTGGAAGGAGAGGCGCATAGCCATGGCATGGGATGGGAGGATGATGGGTTCCCCTACTAATTACCCCTCTCAATACTAACCCAAAGGTCTCCCCTCCTATACGGGCTTTTTTGGGATAATTCAGCCTATTTACCTGTCTAGGAGGGGTAGGTATAGAGGGGGGTAGTAGGGGAGAGGAGGGGGATGGGAGGGGAGGGGGGGGGGGGGGGTTCGGGAGAGGCTTCGGGTTTATGCTTCGAAGCCTCGGACTCTAAGGGTTTAGGGTTTAGGGTTTAGGGTTTAGGGTTTAGAGTTTAGGGTTTAGGGTTTAGGGTTTAGGGTTTAGGGCTGTTTCGGGTTTTGGGGTTTAGGGCTATGTAGGGTTTTGGGTTTTAGGGCTAGGCTGTGGGGAGTGGAGGTTTCGGTGTTCCCTGTCACAGCAAAAAGGTTGCCCTGACACCCTCATTCTAAGCCCGAGACTTCAAACCTTACTGGAGTTCTTGGATTTTTGAAATTAGGGTCCATACATACTCCGTTAGAGGCTTAAGATGTTTGATGCCCTTCTAGCCCTCCTACGCTTGATGAACCGTCAGCCCGGAATCCCAAAAACAACCCGAAATCGCACGTCTTCTGGGTGTCGTGGTTGGCGGTTTGGGGCCTTACTCACCCTTACATTGGAGCGGCCCGAACCACAAAGCCCAAACTCCATAGCCTTGGGGTTTACACCTTCCCCCGCCCTCCAACATTCAGCCAAGTGTCATTCGAATCATTTTCCTCTTTGTTTTCTCAACATCCCCGGTAAATTAAGACTGTCATTGCTTTTTTATGTTCAGGGGAGTGCAGTGATTTTTGGTGGCATAGGTTTTCCTAGGGTTCTGGGCAGGAAGGCCAGTTGCCAGGGCCCCAGCAATGGCAGGTGCAAGAGCGAGTGGGAGATGGTCTATACCCTTCTGATGAGGGATGCCCCTTGCCAGGAACCCGAGAAAAGCATAATATCGCTCGGAGTAATTACTAATCGTATTCCCGTGCCGTCCCTTTCATAACTATACGATCATAACCCCCAAGCCCTATCTGAACCTCTAAACCCATCATCCTCCAGCCTTGAGGTCAGGACCCTAAACTTCATAAGCCCGACCTTACGCACCCCACAGCTCACCTCCTCTGGCCTTGGGGGTGCAGGGCTCAGCGTCTTAGGGTCTCGGGCCGACTCGGGTTTAGGATGTCGGTAACTAAATGTATAAGGTCGTAGAACGACAGCCTATTCAAGAGGGCAGGGTTGGGCTATTATAGGGGCCTGAATAATTGGAATAGGGTTTTGGGGGGGCTATTATAGTATAACTACAACGGGACCCTAAGAGAATACTATTAAAAATTATTCCGACCCCTACATTTCATCAGCATACCCCAAACCTTCAACCCTAAACCCCAAAAATTCTACACCCCAAACCCCAAACCCTAAACCCCAACACACACACACACAGAGACACAGAGACACAGAGACACAGAGACACACAGACACACAGACACACAGACACACAGACACACAGACACACAGACACACAGACACACAGACACACAGACACACAGACACACAGACACACAGACACACAGACACAGACACACAGACACACAGACACACGGACACACGGACACACGGACACACGGACACACGGACACACGGACACACACACACACACACACACACACACACACACACACACACACACACACACACACACACACACACACACACACACACACACACACACAAAGCCCTGCGGAACCCTAAACCCTAAACCCTAAACCCTCAACCCTAAACCCTAAACCCTAAACCTTAATGTAGGTGTGCAGCATCGTGAGGGCTCCAAGGCTACCTGCAGCTGTGGGTCTCGGAGCCGTAATGGCCCCCACCCCATCAGGGTTTAGGGTAAAACCTAAACCCTAAAGCCTAAACCCTAAACCCTTCAGTGTTCACTGCGCTAAACCCTAAACCCTAAACCCACTGCATAGGAGTTCTAAACACCCTTTACGACTGTAATCCGACACCTAAGCGAAGTGCAACAGGTCGTAGGGTTTAGGGTGTAGGGTTTAGGGTTTTGTTAGGGGTTGGAGTTAAGGTTTTAGGGTTTAGGATTGCGGGGTAGGCCCTTAAGGGCTTGAGGTTTTAGCATTGTAGGGCTGTTGGTTTGAGACGTTCAAGTCTCCGGCAGCGACGATGCCCTGCGGGTTTAGGGTTTAGGGTTTAGGGTTTAGGGTTTAGGGTCTAGGGTCTAGGGTCTAGGGTCTAGGGTCTAGGGTCTAGGGTTTAAATGAAGCCCCCAACAAGCCCCAAAGCCTGATGCCTATATATGAGGCAGGGTTTATATTTCTGCTATTGGTGAGTGTATATACGGTTCCCTTTTCATATTGACGAATGATAGAATTGGTGTCCTATTGGGGACAAAAAGAATACAAACCCTACTTCATATGTCTTTGAAGGGAAGCACGCCCAAGACAACTGGGGCAACTGCCTCTCTTTCGTGTGTACGTACCTCAAACCCTTTGAAGAATCTAAACTCTACAACCCTTTGCATCAGGGCTTACCCAGACCCCTGGGAGGAGCCAAGAAGTAGAACCCCCAAGTAATACCCTATTCTACTATTGGGTCATTCTGAGGAAGAATTGAAGGGATCTACCTTTTTAGATCCTCCCATAGTTCTCTTCGTAGCTGAATGAGTACTTTTTTACGGTTTTTGGGGGTACTATTTTCCCCTTCAGAACTGAAGGTGTGCACTTTTTTTGGGGGGGGGGGGCTTATGAACTCAGCAACTTAGCTACCATTGGGTCATTCTTAAGAACCCCCCCTTGAAGGGATTTAAGTGTTGGATCCTCCCAGCATTATCAAGGGTTTCGGGTTTCGGGTTTAGGGTTTCGGGTTTAGGGTTTAGGGTTTAGGGTTTAGGGTTAAAGGGTTTAAACGGTGGCGTCCAAGGAGAAAGTTGGCCTGGAGGAGCCCCTGCGCATGCAGGGTGTCCAGCGGCAGCTGGAGGCCCCTGGATATTTTCAGCGCCCTAAACCCTAAACCCTAAACCCTAAACCCTAAACCCTAAACTCTATTTGCAGGGCTGAAGGGCCCGCAGCTGCCTTAAGGCAGGAGAAGCACGCCCACCTTTGTTCCTTTAGGGCGGAGGATTGAGGGTTTAGGGTTTAGGGTTTAGGGCTTAGGGTTTAGGGTTTAGGGTTTAGGGTGGAACCCGGAATTGGGCCCGCACTCCCTTGTCGACCGGGGTCGGTTCCCCGACAGACCCCACCAAGCAACAACGATGAGGCCCTGTGGATTGAACTCGATTTTTTGGGGATCCTGAAGCCGGCACCCTTTGACGCACTAAACCCTGAACCCTAAACCCTAAACTCGGCAACCGCGGGAAAGACTGAACTCATGAGCTTTGAGGGCGCTTGAAGCCGCGCTAGGTTATCCAGAATCCGGTGCTTGCTCGGGTTTAGGGCTTGGGGAGGGTAGGATTTGGAGAGTATAGGGCAAATATTCAGGGTTTTGGGGCTTCGGGGTAGCTACTGGTTATTCTTTTTCACATCATTACGTCTTGTTCTGATTGCCCTACAAGATCTCCCGATCTTACCCACCTCGAAGAGCATAGAATGCACGGCAACGGAGACCGGGCCATAAAGAAGGTTTATGATTGTTCCATCGAAAGCCGTCGTTCCAGAAGTCAAGAAAGTTAAAGCCGAGTCTGAGTTGTCGTCGCCGCTGCAAGCACTCATCCCAGAACCAAGAACCTCTTTCTCCCAAACCCACACGCCCAGAGTGCAGGAATTGCACTGAGCGCCTCGACCTCAAGACATAGAAACCTGAACCTTAAACTCCTGAAACAAGGACAGCCTACACCCAAGAAATCTTACGGCCCTAATCCCTGCAAACCCCACAACCCCAAAGCCCAAATCCCGAAGACCCGGAGCCCACCAGCCTAAATCATCCTTCCAGCCCTGATTCCCTCTAAACCTCTAAACCCCGAAGCCCTAAACCCTAGACTCTTGAGATTGAAAACCCTAAGACCTGAAACCTCACACCCCTAAGCCCCCCAACGCCCGAATTCGGGAATCCCCCGAAGGCCTAAACCCTTTCGTGCGCGCGCAGGCGCGGCGCGCGCACGATACCTGGTCGAAGCCCAGCCCCCGGTTGAGGGTTTGCGCTGCTATTTGCCTAAGAACCGCTCCCGAAAAGTAGAAGACACTCTTCCTCGTAAGATTAGTCTAGGGATTATTTGTGTGGTGTTCTTAAGCAAATAGTAGTTTGGGGTTTGGGATTCTAGGGTTTAGGTTTAGGATCCAGATCTCCCAAACGGTCCTTAGTTCAGGGTTTAGGATTTAGGCGAGAGGGCTCGGTAAGGATACACCTACGTACTTCTGAAGTGGATCGCCACAAACTACTTGGGAGGTCCAGGGTGTTCATAACCCACTTCTAGCTGTAGTTGTAACCCATGTATAAGACCCTAAAGTCGCCTAGTGTGGTTATAGCTCGGCACGAAGTACAATTTAGAGTTGGGCTCCTGAGTCCCCTGAACCTCCACGCTACAGCTGCACTTACCTGCGTGTGACCCCCCCCCCATACCCTAAACCCTAAACCCTAAACCCTAAACCCTAAACCCTAATGCAAGGCTGCCAGAGCTGCAGATGGACGTGCAGCTCGGCTCGGCAATGGGGGGTTGCCTGAGCATGATCGCGCTTTCACACCTCAAGCCCCCAGTTTAGGGTTTAGGGTTTAGGGTTTAGGGTTTAGGGTTTAGGGTTTAGGGTTTAGGGTTTAGGGTTTAGGGTTTAGGGTTTAGGAAGACCCCGAAGCAATTCAACCTGAATACCGGGGACTAAAGACTATAAACCCCCCAAACTCCTAAAGCCCCCCCCTTGGAACTCTACAACTCTGCACACCCCAAGCACTAAACTCTCTGATCTCTGAGTGCACCCTAAACCCTAAACCCTACACCCCCCATGAATTGGCAGTCCATAGTTCAACTGGTGCAAGGAAAATGGGAACAACATAGAGAGATATGGGGGGGGGGGTTTTCGAAAATAGGGGACCCTTAATCTAGATCCCCAAATAGCCCTTATAACAAGTTCCCCAATAAGGTACCCCGAATTTGGGAAACCCCCCGATGACCCTTTACCCTAACCGTAACCGTCACACAACTTTCATGGGGTTAGGGGTGAGCGGCTAGGGCTTAGGTTTTTGGTTGAGGAGTTGGCGGGGATCAGGATTGAAGGGAGTGGTGTCGCAAATCTCTTGAAGGCTTTAGGGGTTGAGGGGATTTGTGGTTAGGGCTTTGGGGTTTGGAGTGTTCGGGTTTGCCCCCCACCTCCCCGGTACAGAGGCAGGTGAACCCCGCAACGCTGGACTACCCTTGGCCCCCCTAAACCCTAAACCCTAAACCAGCAAGTTGACCTCCCCAAGCCCTGAAGCCCCAACACCCTAATAGACAAACCTTAACGCCTGAAAGCCCCAGTGGAGACTCAGGGCTCTGTTAGAGGCTTGGGATTTAGGAGCGTTGACCATTTTCGTGCTAGTAGGGCTTGCAGGGTTTAGAGGTTTAGTTGTTATTGTTTTTTTCGCGAGGCTTTGAAAGCTAGGAAAGACTCTATTGCCGTCTTCGAGGCTTCGGCCCTGCTTGAAGGTGCGTGGGTCGATGTGAGTGGTGCTACAAGTACGATCAAGAAGGGTTAGCTGCAGCTAGAAGTTATTTCACACCAGTATGAGAGTCTGGATGAACATCTCTATCTTCAGGCTTCGTGTTTAGGATTGAGCCTTGGCCACTTGAGGCTGGTTTGCGGCAGTCCAGAAGATAACATCACCCCTGTCGCTTTGCTCGAGACGCTCGGCCTGGGCATTCACTTGGAGGGTCGGACGTAGTAGGGTAGTTAGCTAATAGAGTTATAAGCAGGATAGATCCAAGTAGAGTCCCTTGTAGGGTACTTATTACGTCTACTTACTCTCTACTTACTAAGTCCCCCGACCCTTCAAGCTCTGGACTCCCCTGGTCTCACTCGACTCCCTCAATTCTCAGTTGAAGCCTCTACCCTGCACACCCTGAAGACCCATAAGCCCTCAACCCTCACCAACTAGAATCGTTATATCATGATGCTATCGACTTCCCAAAATACCCTAGATGATGGGCACGAGGCTGGCACTCGTCAGATGCCGTGGTGCCCCTCCAACCTTTTAACGTCCTCAAGCCTCGCCCCGTAAGCCCTCAAGCTCACGCCCCCAAAAAATCAGACGTCCCGGAAATTCGGGTCCCCTTGTGCTTCCTCAAAATACAGTCGAATCCCCCTTAGGATTCCCAGAAGTTCGGGTCCCCCTGCTTTTACCTCCAAATACAGTCCAATCCCCCTCTGAGTTCCCGGAAGTTTGGGTCCCCTTGCTTTTTCCTAAAGATACAGTCGGCTCCCCCCTAAACCCTAAACCCTAAGCCCTAAAATTAAACCCGAAACCCGAAACCCCAAACCCCAAACCCCAAACCCCAATCCCTAAACCCTAAACCCTAAACCCTAAACCCTAAACCCTAAACCCTAAACCCTAAACCCTAAACCCTAAACCCTAAACCCTAAACCCTACCGAAGCAAGGAAGCTCGCAGCGCGGATCGGCTGCGAGTCGAAGCTGGACTTCGAGGCCTGCGCTTGGGGGGGCTGGGGGGGGGGGGGGGGTTTAGGTTTAGGGGCTTAGGCTTTAGGGGTTTAGGGTTTAGGGTTTAGGGTTTAGGGTTTAAGGTTTAAGGTTTAGGGTTTAGGGTTTAGGGTTTAGGGTTTAGGGTTTAGGGTTTAGGGTTTAGGGTTTAGGGTTTAGGGCGTGCCAAACGGGAGCGCGCTTTGGGAGCGCGCGGTAGTCTGCAGACCTACCCACCCCAAGACCGCCCACTTACAACTCTCAAGAAGTTAAGACCTTTTATTTTTTTACAA